ATGTCTACAAATAACTCAAAGAGAACAAGGATTGGGATTTTATGTAACACAGATCGTTCTAAAAATGATTCAGTTTTTATTCACGCTGCAACGCGAAAGCTTGTACTGAAGCTTACTGATATTTTAGAGTTTCTTTAAAAGAAAAACTTCCCTTATTTAATCAGCAAGAAAAATTTTGCTTTGCTACGAAATAGTGACCTTAAGTCTACATTAAAAGAAAAACTTCCCTTATTTAATCAACAAGAAAAATTTTGCTTTGCTACGAAATAGTGACCTTAAGTCTACATTAAATATTGGATATATAGGAAAAGAAAGCCGTCATCGTCGCTAATGATACTTTCGCGACTTCTACAAAATTGCTTAAACAGTGTCGCTGGAAAATTATAATTAAATATTATTGAACCGAGTTCGTCCTTTAACCATGCACACTTTACCTTTAAGAATTAAAAAATAAAAAAAATAAAAATAGGCACTGGTCTGAAGTGTTAAGGCCCTTGGTCTCCCTGCGTAATATAATTATGAATTTATTTTCAATAACTGTAACGTTTGATTGATGGACGGCAATATTGTGTTAGCTTATAGGAACCATATCATATCTCCTTTAGAAGGTATGAAAGAAAATTCCAAAAATGGATTTACTTGCTCCAACTGCTGTTTAAACTTAGTTTTCTGATCAAAGGAAATTCTACTCTTCGCTTTGTTTTCCTCGTTCCGTTTTTATTGTATAAAGTCAATTCGGTCCAAATTTCGCACAGCTGATTACTATCAAAACTAATACCCTTTACCAATAAACCTAAATTAGTAAGCTTTCGTCAATACGGTTGTAAAGGTAGAAGTTTAAAAACTCGTCGAATCGCATTTAAATTGCCGATGTTACCCGTTTAGGATGCGAAGACTCCTAGAAAACTCCTATATATATATATAAATTTTTTTTTTTTTTTTTTTGGGGGGGGGTGTGTGATCAATCACCCGGTCTAAAGCGATGCCGAAAATCGCAACTTGTAGGCTATTGCTTACAATACAATGCATTGTGCCTATGCTCATGATGTTGGCAAATTCTGAAAGGTCACCTTTTCGTATACCCGAGAACGGT